CTTGAACCTATATGGGATACGATATGCATAGTAAAGACTAACTTTATTTATTCATATTGGATTCAATTTCAAGGGTTGTAGATGTAGTACGAAATTGACATGTAGGATCTAATTCTTTATTGATATACAACTATCTATCACATGATCACGAATAATTTTGGTGTAAAAAATGCGTCTAGCGCGTCTTTATAAAAGCGTTGTACACACTTGACACCAAGAAATCCACGGACTGATATCTTGGTTGATATCCTATCATGCAGCATATGGCCGACCCTATACTAAATGATGACTGGAGTTTTCATATGAGATTGCCTTCCAGCTCCTTGGATAATGCTAATTGATTGCATTTCAGAGATTAGATAATAGAGACCATGATCTGAAATACCAGCCAAATCATTCCATTACAGTTTCTTGTAACATATTAACTTGTGTAGTAGTTTCTTATACAAAAAAAGATAAATGTAATGTGCCAAGTTTCTAATATTATGGCTGATGTATTTATATTGAAACATAAGCCAGAAATTAAGCTTGGGAAGGACAAGTGGAGGTTTCAACTGACATAAATATTTTATTTCGCGTACAATCTATAAAATAGATTTTGATTTGTTATACATACTACGAATATTAGACTAACACATCTTCTGAATGACAAGCAAGTCATCCTCTAAATTTTTTGAATGCTTCGGTAATGCTCATCCCTTCAAGTAATGCCGTCTTTACATTCTCGTCCATCGGAACAAGCTTCTCACATAACTCAACAACCTGGTCCACTAATTCAACGGGAACACACACAACACCATTGACATCTCCAACAATGACATCTCCCGGTTTGATGACAATAGGTGGATAATAACTTCCGTTCAATGTAACCGGAACGTTTATCTCGGAAGGGCGTGTGAATGGCTTAGCTGACAATGTAGAAGAACCGCGAGCAAATACCTTTTACAATAACAAAATCGCAGAACGGTCAAAGATCCAGCGAGCCAACAGGACAAGCCACACTAGACAATTATTCAAAAAGCCCATACCGAGACTTCCATTCGTTAAACTCACCATTAGGCTTTCGTTCCTCAATTCATCCAGATCTCTTACCCTCCCATCAACAACTACTCCTTTCGCTCCTTTCATCTTCGCTCTCGTATTCAAAAGCCCTCCCCATACAGCATTAATTCCTCCTGCAGGCGCAGAAACAAAAACAACACTCCCTTCTGGAACAGTATCAGTAAAATGCACCCCTAGCTTTGGTGACGTGACATCTGAACTTGGTACAAGTTTTACTGTATATGCTGGTCCAAGTATACGGGTTGAAGTATGTGAGAAGGGCGTGAGATCGGGGAGGAAGCCACCGTGTGGATGAGATAGCTTTAAAAGGGCATCAGAAATATCACAAGTTGTATATTTGGAGAGCATCGGATGTAAACGAAAACCAATGCGCATTGATTTGTTTGTAAGGGCCGCGTATCTTTTTTATTTTACATTACACGCACGTGACGTGTAAGAATAATGATAAATTGAATTGGTCCAACTCGACGTACTCTGCTTGATTCCATGTCCTTCCCTCCTCTCTTCTCGCAGTCATTTTATTCACGCTTTCCTTATTTTCCTCCACCATCACCACCACCACCACCACCACCACCAGGCTTTACGCCCGAAGATCTACCTCAAAATGTCCTTCGATTCCGCGATTTTCACCGCACACACTTCCTGCCTAATAGAGACTTCTTCCGTCAGGCTTTGAACCCTTCGCCAAATGGTTTATGGAATGTAGGCGGTAATAGTGAGTGGAGTGAATGGAATGAATGGACGAAACGGCAAAGTGAGATAGCGGAAAATGGCGCGCAGGTAGAGGAGGAAAATTGGCAAGAAGAAGAAATTGAAGAGGAAGAGGAAGGCGTGGAATTCGTGCTGAGTGAAGAAGCCATTGCCATGTTTCGCTTTTCAGAAATGAGAAGAGAAGAGTGTAAGTGAATGCTTTTCGTGGATCTGGTACGGTTTTGTTGAAAATTAATTGTGTGTGTGTGTGGGGGGGGGGGGGGGTTTCAGGTTTTAGTCAATTTTATAATAGATCAATAATTATTCATCAACTTCCTATTTATGATTGACAGTAAAGTCAAGTTCTAAGGGTCAGGCACCTGACTCTCCTGCGTTGTCCGACTCTTCCTCTTCGGCATACATCACTGAACCACCACCATCACACATCCCTGCCTGTCCATTTTCCCAATCCGATTATACTCGCCTTTACGGCACCAACCGTGAAGAGATCAGACTTCTCGAGTCTCTGGTTAATTTCAAGTTCCAGACAGCCGTTTCCGATTGTAACAAGGATGGCAATGATGTTGTATACTGGCCAGTTTTACCATTGAGATTTGTTTGAGGTTAGTGTGCGTGAATGGTTCTATCTGTAGATATGGTGATGATGAAGGCTTAATTATCATCCTTGTTCGTGAATCGGGGTGCAAAGGGTAGAATTCTATTTTCGTTCCTGTAAAGAATGATTAGGAAGTTTGCTCTTTCGCGTGAAACCTTGACGTGATGAAACATTTCAGGGCCTTATCTCTCTGAAACCATGAACTTTTTTTTATTTGTGCATCGTTGTGGAGCGAGAAGGTCGTTATGCTAACGACTATAATCATTCGTTTAAATAGGTCTAGTGAATGCTGTAAGACATCGAATCGTTGTAATCTAATTCGAAAGCGCTTCTTGTAAAAAGAGGTTGCGACGTCAGGAAATCGTTAGATATGAAAATAGCACCAAAAATGTTGTGCCCGTTCTAGGATTTGACCCGTTTCGGGATGTCACATTAGAATAATCTCTTGCACCAATAAATTACATGATTTATGTGATAACGTCGAAAAAATGTGACAATCTTGAAACGGTTTGACAAAAATAAAAGGGTTTATCGAACTGTGTTTTGCTTTATGAGAAGCTGGCTCTCGTGATGCTGTCATTGGCTTTCCCAAATAGTAACCAAAATTTTTTTAACATAACCATCTTTTTTTATCTAAGTTTACCATATCAATATGCAGAACCTTAACCATTAATTAGTAGTAACGATGCCATGCTACCATTTAAAGTTCATGCATGAAGTGCCTTTTCAGCAACAATCCAGCCGAATTCTTTCTTTTTGCTGGGTAATCTTGCCGTATGATAAAGCTAAGGAAACTGCCTGAGATAATGTGTTAGTCGTCAAATGGCCTGGATATTAACCCAATCGAAAATTTAGCGACAATTTAAATGGTCGTGTAGTAGTAGAGAAAAAGTCACCAACAAGAAGAAATTACTGATACTGGTTATCGATAATTTCTAGTGTCATTTTTAAATTGATTAGCAGCCTGCAATAGTAGACACTTACTCCTATATACTATACGACTCACAATTATAGATGTGTTAGTATTAATATTAATGGTTTAATTCTTTTTACAAGGATATTAAAATGTCCACCTTGATGTAGAAGTTCGATGAACCTGTTCATCTAACATTTTTTTTCTGCCATGCTCTTTCTAGCAATCGCTGACAAAATCACTTTATACTCCCGAATTCCTGAGTAAATACCCCCAACATATATAGTTTGTCGGAATCCTCAGAACTGCACACTGCAAGCTATTATTGTATATAGCATATTATAAAATACGCGTAACGTTGCCAAGTTTGTAAACGATTTAACAGCGTTTTAAACTTGCTTGTAAACTTGAACACATACAAGGTTAATTAATACTGCCATTATATAGAAACTTGAAACATTGCAGCTTCACGAAATGTAGCATATACGCGGTTTGGCAAAAGCTTTAACAACTAAATCTTTCCTATTGCAAATTACAAAGCTAATTTATTGATCTGTACAATTAGCTTATCTGTTAAGCATGTAGTGCAATATAAATATGCCCATACAATTGTATTCGCTCCATAACCGGTATTATTCAATCCCAGTTCAGCAGACTATTAAATATTAGTATAGCATTTTAAATCTAATGGTACAGAAGCTTTAGTCCTCTAATAAAGCTAGTCGGCATCATACGTTGTTAATGTCATTTTCCTGGTTAATTTTCAAATATCTACATAATGAGAATAATATCACTTTGTAATTTGGTTTGATTGATCATGTTTCTAGAATTCACAAAAGAACACGAACTTCTTACAAAGCTACATTGGGCATTTGATATACAAACCTTAAGTTATCAAGATAGGTTGCTAATCAAGGGAAGAGAGCTATCTTACTCGATAAAATTTATCTGCTTCACTCTCTTCACCCACAAGATTCATATTCCATAGACTCGTCATCGTCATTAGTTGAATAACTTGCATCACTTTCACCTTCACTTTCGCTATCATTGTTGCTCTGCTCACTCTTACCTAAACTCTTTTTCTTCCGAAGCTTATACGCTTCCCATGGTATATCGTCGATATCTCCGCCCTTATTCACTACAACTTCCTTCAACTTGTCAATGTAGTTCAGTGTGAGATATTCATCTTTAACCACATAATAACCAAACGGTCCAGCGTATTGCCCGATCACATCAAATAGACCTTGACGAGAAACAGATTTATCTGTTTGTCGATGTTTAAAGAGCAGACCAGGCAGATAAGGGCGACTAGAGAATAGGGAGTGGAGGGATGTTGGCGATAGTGTACTTGAAAGGTAACGAGTGTGGATAAAAGTGAGGGTTTAGACGTATTTACCAGTTTATAAATTGTAAGTGCAAAGCATCGGCCAGAACTCACTCTATATGCAGTATACGCTTAACAGTTTCTTTTAATATCTCCCATCGTACATCGCCGTGTTCTATTCTTGCAAGAAGCATTTTCAGAACAGATCTGTGGGCTTTCATAATTTTATGACTGACTATATTTCCTGTGTTCTCTACAACAGTACAATAACAATAAGTTAGTTCAAGAGGCGATAAACTTAACAATCTATCAATGAAACTTTCTTACTGCTAGCAACGCTGTAACGCTTTATAACAGCATCATAGTGTTCGATCAATGGTAATAGCGTAATCTCTGGGCAGCCAACAGGATCCAATTGATGATAAGATTTAGCCACAGATAGCCATTCCCCATCTGTTCCTTGATAAGTGTAAAGAAGAGTAAGAAGTATTCTTATAAATAGAAAACAGAAATAATAAGTGAATAATGAAGCTTTAAGGGTTTAGTGAGCATATGACTGTATACCTGTGTGCCATTAGTCGATTATCACTATTCTCAAAAGCCTTTTTTGCCATCGACATAGCTTTATCTATTTCGTCGTTTGCCACTAGGAGCTAAATAATTATTAGGTGAGCGACGGATCGAAAGAATTCGTGCTATATACTGATTAATAAAGGATACAAACCTTGATGTACGTATCAAGAAATAAATCATTATTAATATCCAAATCAAGTGAGGCTTCCAGGGCCTGACGCGCAATTGTGTAGTAATACTTTGGTTCATAAGAACAAACCTCCATCCGATCTAAACAGATTGAGCGTCATTACTCTATTCGTAGAACGAGCTGACGAAAATTTGTAGACCAGAATAAATTCATTGCATACTTTCTTCTTCACTTGTTTCCATTGTCGATTCAAAAAGACTCGAATAATTCTCATTCTTTAGTCGCCCAGAACATCGATGCCACAGCACATAGGCCAACAAGCCAACGTATCCTAAAAAGACTGGATTCTCGCTATAGGGAGGTGTGGTGAGGTACCTATGGTAAACATGCATATAGTGTCAAAAATTGAATTATTTTCGAAAAATGGTACAGAACAGGATTAGACTGATTACACTTCGAATGTATTCAGCGCTACATCCGCTCCTTTAGACTTCAACGTATAGAATACAAATTCCAATAATACATTCTCGTTCGTACTCTGTATTATGCAGATTTTCATGTTAAGACAAGCCAAAATTAGATGTTTAAGACATGATCAATCAGACGACGACTTACGCGATGCGAGAATAACACGCGATCGAAAAAGTTTGCTCGATTTTTATCTTGTAGTGGCAGATGCATTAACACAGCTAGAATAGGCTTTTCCAGAAAGAAGATCAATATTTCGTGATTCTTTGCGTTTGTTATCATTCCATTTTTACTCCTCAACAAACCTGCCAAATATACTTGATATTGACTTCTGGGCATTTTGTCAATACTCCCAAGATTTTATACGCCAGTTCATAGTTGCCTTTGAGGATTGTTGTATGAAGAAGATTTATGGATGTATACAAATGAATGCGATAGTTTGATCTTTTCACAGGAAATTCGTCGGAATGGTCGGTTGTCATGGGAAAGCAAGATTTCTATTTATTAAAACGGTCGTGTGACCCTTAATCCCAGATTTTCAAATTCCACGTGCCCGCTTTGTTATAATGACTATTACTATTTATGGTTACGTCACTAGAAAACATCATTCAATTAGAGATTACCAGAACATCAATATTAATGTTCTGGCCCGTTGCGAAATCCAGCCCGATTCAAAATCGGGCTGGCCTAGTTCGAAATAAGCACATTTTATTTCGATATTATCACATAAACAATGTTAATTAGATGTCGCTTATTGGTTGTGATATTAGACAATGTGCCTATTGCGAATCGGGCTGGATTTCGCAACGGGCCAGAATATTAATATTAATAAGAAAAAATTTTAAACCGTGACTTTTATTCTACTTCGTCCGCTCTATCATCTTACGGATTAGTTTTTCTCTAAACCTCTAATATAAAAGCCTTGGGGTTTTGAAAGTTGGGTATTTTATTTCGTGCTTTAGGGTACTGTTTAATTAGTTATATATTAGAGACAAGTGACGTCGAAACAGATAGCCCTATTTAATTATTGTCACAGCTGATGCTGAAATCTGGCTGAAGCTGAAACCATGACCTTTCATTGGTTGATCGGATTTTATTCTCTAATCCCATTGGTTAGTTTCAGCTTCAGCTGGATTTCAGCATCAGCTCTCACAATTTATTAAATAAAATTTTAGCATTAGTATATATATATTAATATTAGGTCACATTGCAACATCTTTTATCGAAAACAAAACAAGCAAAAGAAACGGCAACTTACGAACATATTGATCAAGAGTTGAATGAGGTGAAGGAGCAGCACAGGAAGGCGGAGGAAGTGTTAAAGAAGTTTAAGGAAGACGAGAACGAAGGGAAGTGGTTGGCAGAGTTAAAGGGGAAGCTGCGGAGAAAAGAAGGACTCGACAAGGAGGAGAAGCAGGCATGGGAGGATCTTAAAGAGAAGGAGAAGCATCTGGAGTTGATGAAAGACCACTGGGAGAAGCAAATGGCAATGCTGCAGGAGAGGCTAACAACTCTGCAGACTGGTAACGACTTTGTGACTGGTGCATGGAGACAGAACATAATGTATTAGCTATCCATTCTATTTACTCATCCTTCATTAATCTTATTTTAACAGTTTCTAGTACTTTCGAATCTCTTTCCATCTCACTGTCAAGCTCTGTGCTGCAGATCACATAAAAACCAGTAGCCGATTTGTATCTCTCACAGATCTCTCGTTTTTGGAAGAACTAAGTTGCAGCAATAAATGCAAGATTGTTGAAAAATTCAGTGGAATTACACAACCCATTGTTGAATAGAGATCAGAAGTTGATCAAGTACAGCCATGGGTTCAGGGAATGTATGAAAAATTAGCTGAAGTCTTTGAATTGGTAGTAAACTGGGACAACCAGCATGGAGGTCAGCAAGGTGAAGATTATGCAGATCACTATCTAACATATTAATATCCAGATTGGAGGCATTTATGCAATGTTGAATGTCTCACCATTGACTTTACAAAATGCTGGGCATTCGAAACCAAAGGGTTTTGGCAAACCCACCCATTGAACAATGTGCTTGTTCAGTGCCATAGATACTCTTGCAGATTTTCAAATATGATATGAACTGTCAGAGCAAATACATTTCAATCATCACTGATGGGAGGACATATAGGTTGTGGTATGCATATTATGACAAGCATGGAATGGCAGGTGGTTTGACAACTGATTATTCTTGGAGTCAAACCTACTTTCAAGATCCTAGGACGTGTATTTAAGACTTTCAAAAAGATCAATCTTTGTGCAAGTGCTGGCACAGGCAAAGATATATGGCCAGATCAGCAGGCCCTAAACAAGGCTTTGTATGAGGTGATCGTGAAATGGGCCAAAAAGCTTTCTCCCTCACACCTTCCAATTGTGTCAACCACCATTGGTGACATAGAAGCACAGCAGCTCTTGGGCACTGGGTTGAATACTGTTGTTTTGATGGACTGACTGTGAACAATACACAAGTTGCTGTCAAGTATTGTCTTGATAATGATCCTCTGCAACATGAAGCAGATACATTGAAGAAACTCAGTGAGGTTAAAGGCATCCTGACATTGTTATATGAAGACTTCAACAGCATGATTCCATACATTGTCACTAGCATGGTTGGTCAGAGGGTAACCAAGACTGATGTACAAACTGCATGCAATATTATAATTGACATTCTCGAAGTGCTGAAAAGCCTTCATGATCACCACTACATCCATAATGACATCAACCCTGGTAATATTGTGAAAGTTGGCAACAGTTCCTTGGAGTGATAAAAGAGATACTGCCCCAAATGACTGGCCAAATGGTCACATAATATTTGCATCGCACCATTGGGGCAAATGTCTTGGGACTTAGAAGCCCTTTGTTACACTGTTGCATTCATGCATAATCAAGACAAGGAATATTGGCACACTACTGCTAGGGATCCATTCAAGGCCCTCCATAAAAAAGAAAAATTTTCAGAAATTCTCCATCTCTTTGACAATCTTCCACAAGTGTTCCAAGATTTCTTTCACTATGTCTATAAGCTCAACATTACTGCAATGCCAGATTATGAGTACTGGCACAAAAAATTTACCTCTACTGTTAATGATCTATTTTTGCTATCCAACAGAAAATGTGCCCATGAAATACCACTATCAGAAATTTCAGAAGAGAAATCTAGTCGACAACTTCAAGCTTGAACAGTTTAGATAGAGATTAGTTTATGATTCGCTGCAGTTAACTGTAGCTTTTGTATGGTTATTTGATCAGCATCAATATGTTTATTGCATTCAATTCCTGCATAGTAATATCACTTTGCCTTCTCTCTTCTCTGTGAAATACAAAAATTGGTGTTCTAAAAATGAATAAAACATTGTTATGCTATAGTTTAGTCAGCTCATCTACCAAACCTTTATTGTGATCTTTGTATAGTCTGCAGTAGTACCACTTCATATATAAATAATTTTAATTTCGCAGGTGAGTTTGGATAGCAATAGTTATTTGGATTAATTTCTTCTGTGTCAACGTGTGAAGATATAATTGCAATGTCAGAACTTAAACAACAAATGGTCAGTCAAAACTTGGAAAATGCCAGAACAATTTCTGTTGTGGATTTTTACAAATGTCAGCAAGTTTCAATTAAACATGATTGATTCTGGGTTTAATTCCAGCAAAATACTTTAATATCTTGTTATCGGAATTGTGCCTTGGGTGAACATGAAAGTGATAAAAATTATATATAGGATTGCCCGTATATGGAAAATCATAATTATAGCGGTTCTACTGAATATGAAAAAGCAATGCATTTTTTGGAATTAGGTTGCAAATGTGGTTGCTCAAAAACGATTTTCGAGAGAAGGATTTGCCGAATTACGTGAGCTCTTTCTAAATCTGAACAAGATATATTTTTAATGGCCCTGTTAAAAGCAATGAATGGTGGCGAAATAACTGCCAGTCGACGTCTTAAAAAGAAAGCGCGCATTAATAAGAGACTTTTTATTACTGACGCCTCTTTGCCAAAAAACTTATCTCAATATGTTAGGAACTGGCCGCACTCACTTCGAAAACGTCAGAAATTACCTAGCGACGAATGGTATAATACCGCGCGTTCATGGTAATGTAAAAAATGTGCGATGGAAAATCAAAATAACCATTGATATAACCGTTGCTACCGCCGTAAAAAATTTTCTCGAAAATCCAAGTCCTGGTAGAAATGTCAACCGAATTACTCAATTGCTTACACTTTTGCCAGCCAAAACGAGTTACAAATCAGCCTATCGTGCTATCATTTTCGAGACCTGCAATAAAATCACGTTGAAATTATAAATATGATGCGTTCCGCAAGTTATGGCACCAATTAACGCCTTATATTCAAATTATGAGTCCAAGAACGGATTTATATACATGTCAACGTTTTCGGAATGGCTTACAATATAACGCCGGTAAGGAAGAAAAAGCAAAAGACTTGTTGAAAAAATACAAAGAACATCTGGTTAAGGCTAAATTGGAGAGAAAATATTACAATAAAAATACACAGAGAAAATTGATAGATGAGCATTTTGTAACAAGAGGCAAAGCTGATTATTGTAGCATTGACGCTACTTCTCATTACAGTTATGATTGAGCACAAAATGTTCATGTTCCCCATTCCAATCAACAGGCAAGTAAGATTTATTATCTCAGTCCCCATAAAGTGCATTTATTTGATATACAAGATGAAGCAGTACAAGAACAAATTAATTATGTTCTTAATGAAGACGAAATTGTAGGAAAAGGTCCTAATCCTAATGGTACACTGAGCATGGTATTCGATGCAATTAAGAGATTGAATAAAGGCGAAAAGTGTTTAAAGATTACTTGCGATAATGCGGGAGGACAGAATAAAAACAATGTTACCATATGATTTTACCTGTATTTGGTCATCTGTGGTTATTTTGAAAGCGTTGAATTAAATTTTAGGATACCTAGTTTAAGTGTGATGGCAGCTTTGGATTACAAAACGACTGTAGATTGTGTGGATCATATTGTTGAGGTTGTGAAAGATCGAGTACAGCGGGATTAAACAAAGCCCAGTGCTATGAAAATGGAAAAGGCTTTCAATACTTAGATCTTGATTCTGTGCTAGGAATTTTTTTAAAAAAATTGAGTGGTTTACAAAAGAATAGAAACAAAAAAAAGAACATAGAAGCCCATCAAAAACATAATCAGCATGTTGACAATAAAATTAATGCAGTTCAATCGGAATTCAATAAACAGAGAGAAACAATTTCTGAAGTAGTTAAAAATGTTTCTGGTTTAGAAGAAAGAGTTGAAAAAGTTGAAAAGCAGTATTTCTTCCCAAATCCCCCAATTCAATATATAACTTTGACATTGAATAGGTTGACCTGTTTTCCTAGTTTTTTGTAGTTATGCTAGTTGAAAAGTCTATAAAGAGAAAAACGGACAGAAAATTATTTAGTAGTTATTTGTGAAATACAGAGTGTTATCAAAAGTTTCCAAACGCGATTTTTGGAACGCGATTGCTATACAAAAAAGGTAATGTTTATTATACAAATATGGTTCGTTTTTGTTTATTTTATCTTAAAAACCATTTCTAATTCAATTTTTCTTTCTTTTTTTTTTTTTTACAAATTGTGGTTACAACTGCAACAATGGAAAAAAATAACGAATTAACCGCGGAACAACGAGGTGCTATATTTTATCTTCGTAAAAATGGTAATTCGTATAATCAGATTGCAGAAACTGTTGGATGTGGCAAAACCACAGTTTATGATACATTAAAAAGCCAACCAACCTTGCTGACTTGAAAGGGATGTTAAAAATGCATGGAAAGCAATTCCGAAATGTATGATCGAAAATTTAGTCGATAGTATGCTAGCATGGTGATTGCGGCGGAAGGTGGCCCAATTAAATACTAGTTTAATAATACGAAATGTAGGTTTTGATAAGCTTAAAATAAAGTTTTAATAAAAATTTTTTGAATTGTTACTCAAAAACTCCTTAGTATAGCGATGGTGTGCTTGGGTATTGGTATTGGATTTCTTTTAGACGGAATAATTATTTCTTCTCTAAAAACCCCCTTACAAAGATTAAGTGTCAAAATAGAAAATGCTGATATTGATGAAAAACAGAAGAAAGAATTATTATTCAAAACTCAAAATTTAAATGAACTTTTTAAAGAAACCTTAAAAAGATTTGGATTGTTAGCAGTGGTTGGTATTTTAACTAAACGAATAGACAAATACTGAAATAAGTATATATTCTCCTTTTTAAGTTATTGTAAATAGCCGATTTTGCTATTTACTACGGAATTATTTGATTGGTCAAAAATTCACTCCCATGTATTTTGAATCGGGTGACGAGTTGGTGAAACTCATATATTCTGCGGCGCTTTTGTATAACTTAGATTTCGAACACCAACTTGATCACTTGATCGTAAGTAGTGATAATTCGCGAATAGATGTCTGGGAGGGAAATTGAGTACTAGAGTGATGAATACGAATAGTGATATAAAATTCATTATACGTGTATAAACGACCTTTCTCCCAGGCGGAAAGAAGTTTGGCTGCTAAGGATAAAACCAAAGCGGAACGGCTTCCCTGGGTGGTTTCATCTCTTGTAATAATAAAATATTAATATCCGTTATCAATTATTGGAAATGTTGTATTATTTTGTTCT